GTTGTGTTTCCGTGAGTTTGCGGTTTTGCGATGGCTGACCTGAGAGAGCAGTGTGTCTGTATAAAGTTTTGTTTCAAACTTGGGAAAACCGCTGCAGAAACGCACCAAATGTTGAAGCAAGCTTTTTGTGAAAACAGTTTAGGCCAGACACAAACTTACAACTGGTATAAGCATTTTAAAAATGGCCGAACATTGACTGATTATGACGATCGTTCAGGATGGCCATCAACGGGCAAAACACCAGAAAATGTCGCGGAAGTTAGGGATCTGATTCTGCAAGATCGTAGACTGACCATCCAAGACCTCTGTAACACCTTGGGACTAAGTTATGGTACATGTCAACGAATTTTGTCAGAGGAACTGAACATGAGGAGGATTGCGGCGAAGTTTGTGCCATGACTGCTGCAAAATGAACAGAAGCAGCATCGCTTGGAAGTCTGCAGGTAACTTCAGCAACAGATTCAAGAGGATCCAAACTTTCTTTTGAAGGTTGTCACTGGTGATGAAAGTTGGGTTTATGGCTACGACCCTGAAAGCAAGCAGCAATCGTCGCAATGGAAGAGCCCTTCTTCACCTTAGCCAACAAAAGCTCGACAAGTCAAGAGCAACATTAAGTCCATGTTGATCTTTTTTTTTATATTGATGGGATTGTTCATAAGGAGTTCGTCCCTCCTGGTCAGACAGTCAATAAAGAGTTCTATCGCGATGTTCTAAGGCGTTTGAGGGAGAACATGAGGAGAAAATGTCCAGAGAAGTGGCGCATGAATGACTGGGTACTCCACCATGACAACGCACGACCGCATACGGCTTACACTGTCCAGGAATTTTTGGCTAAAAACAAGATGGCAGTTGTTCCCCACTCACCGTACTCACCAGACTTAGCTCCATGCGACTCCTTTCTCTTCCCCAAGATGAAAATCAAGTTGAAGGGGCGAAGATTTGATACAGTTGAGGAAATTCAAGCGGAAACGCAGACGGTACTAAACACCCTAACAAAGAAAGACTTCCAGGATGCATTTGAAAAGTGGCAGAAACGCTGGGATTGGTGTATGTGCTCCCAAGGGGACTACTTTGAAGGTGATGGTGCAGAATAAGATCTAGGTAAGATCTAATAGTTTTTATTAATATATTTCGGGAACTTCTGGATTGCACCACATATAAGCTTCCCTGCCATCTTCTGAACTGAGGAAATGTCAGTTCATAGCCTGTATATCACAGAGTCCTATAGGTTATGGCTGTTGTCAGACTGTCTGTTTATACCATGTCAAAGCTGAAAGTGTGTTTGTTTAAAACTGTATCTGAATACCATTCTAGAACCACAGAATATAACCAACATTCTGAACTGTATCACCATTTCTGCTTCTAACTACAATGCACCTAGCAGGATGTGCATGCACTGCAAACTCTGAATGTTCTTCGCTATGTCCTAGAACTGTCACTGGTGTAGGCAACCTTAACTTTTTGAACTCATTTTCAAAAGATCATTTATAATCACTAACCTCATACAGCCCACTCCTTCTTAAAAAACATAGTGATCACTCAGCTAGTCAAGAAACTTCCTGCCTTCTCATTACCTGAAGGCCATACTGTTCTCAAAACAACCTGCCATTGGTTAGCATTCTCAGTCTATTGCATTCAGTCCACATCTTCATAGCCTACTTCCGTAAGACCCATTTTAGTAAGTGTCCTACCATCTATGCGCAGGTCCCATAAAGTGGTCTCTTCCCTTCAGGTTTTCAGATTTAAATTTTATATGCATTCTTCATCTCCAATATGCATCCCTCCTAACTTATCCTCCTAGATTTGATCAAACTATTAATATATGGAGTAGAGTACCTCATTACAAAATTTTCTTTAGCCTCCTGTTAACTTCCTCTCTCTCACATCCAAATATTCCCCTCAGCACCCTATTCTCAAATACCTTCAATCTGTTCTTGCTTTAAGGTTGGAGAAGTTTCAGATTCATACAAAGGAACAGATAAATTACAGCTTTGTAAATTTTAATCTTCACATTTTAAAGACAGATGACAAAATGAGATTCTGAATTGAAAGGTAACAAAGAGTTCTCAAATTTAATCTTCTCTTAATTTCTTGGATTTTCTCCTGCATTCCGTGGATGACGTACATCCTTATACTTAGTTTAATCTACTAGAATTTGTTTTCTTCATATTATTTATGCTTTTGCAGATCAAATGAGCAGCAGCACAAACTGATATGTACCATTCAATTCAAATCTCTCCTGGTTTTCTTGGACTTTCCTAATAGCACATACGTTGTGCGCTCAAGTTCTAAGGTCTCCGATTTTTTTCTCACACAATAATCATACAAAAAAGTTGAAACTTCTGTCACTTTTCAACGTAATCTCCCTGCAGCCGTACCATTTTTCACAACGTCGATGCCATGATTCCATGGCCGCTGCGAACGCTTCTGTAGGAGTCTGTTTTGACCACTGGAAAATTGCTGATGCAATAGCGGATTGAAAAACGGCATCCATGTCTCATCCATTGTCACAGTTGATGAAAAGAAAGTCCCATTCATGCCTTCATCATTGCCATGCATGCAGCCTTGTGGTCATCCGCCAAAATTCGTGGAACCCACCTGGAGGACACTTTCCGCATTCGCAGGTCTTCATGCAGGATTTTGTGCACAGATCCCACGGAAATGCCAACTTTGGGGGCGATGTTTTCCACACTCAATCGGCGATCCTCCAAAACAACTTTCTCAACTCGCTCGACCATGTTGTCAGACCGGCTGGTGCGAGGCCGAGATTGTTTTGGTTCGTTGTCACACGACGTTCGGCCTTCTTTGAACTGTCGCGCCCACGAACGCACATTTTTCACATTCATGACACCATCACCACATGTCTCACTCAACTGGCGATGAATTTCAATGGGTGTCGCACCACGCAAGTGGAGAAAACGAATGATTACTCGCTGTTCTTGTAACGAAAATTTCGCCATTTTAAGTATCAAAAACACTCCTCACACTCGCCGCTACCACTAGAGTTCTGTGTGCCGTAGAGTTCTGCCATCTCTGTCACGCATTCACAAAGAGTGCACACGTATTTTAAACAAAACCGCATGTGTCTATCTGCTCCCAGTCCTGAGGAAAAAAAATCGGAGACCTTAGAACTTGAACGCCCCTCGTACAAAAGCAAAGGTGAGAGTCAATACTGATATAATATTTCCTCATTTCAGACCATTCTGAACAGGAAATTAATCAACAACTGTTTACATATATGGGTTCAATCATTTTTAATCACTCTACATCCAAACTGCAATAATGATGTGCAAAAAGTCATACCACCACACTTTAATATGCTATTTGAATACAACTCTAATCACCTACCACTTCAAACCACCTGCCCACAATATCACAATAATGACACTTCCTTTCCTCCATGCCCGAAAAGTTCTAAATATGTGACATAAAATTAATAAACAAAATTCCTTGGTATTTACCAGCTTGTCTGATGGGACGGGTGGCTGCAGCTGTAGCTGGTACAATTGATGGTGCACGTTTTGCATTATGACCACCCCCACGAGGTGCTGATAAACCCCCACTTCCCATTTGTTCCCCCCCTCGAACTGCCAAGGCATCATAATCTGTACCCGAATAGTTGGCATCAAAGAACTTTTTGAACCATTGCAGAAACTCAAAGTTATCTTGAAACCTGCCCTTGATTAGCCTATCTATTGGAACAATCTGAAAAAATCAACATATGTGCAAAAAAATATAATAAAACAGTGCATTTATAAACCAAGGATCACTGCAAATCAAAAGAACTGCTCTACTACTGCCTCCGGTCCTGAAAAAATGCAGAACATGCAAAAAGAGGTGCAAACAAAAACAAATGGTCTCTGTAATACAAAGACAGAAAGGAAATCAGATACTGTACACAGTGGCTTTTAAGTGGTGGTGTTACTGGTGCGGCAGTCTGCAATTTGCTGGCCACATGTGGATACACAGGAAGGAAATTCACTCTAGCACATGTACTGAATGCAGGTCCTACCTATTATTTTAAAATTTTAAACTTCAAAATTGCACTTACCATAATTCTACAGCAGCTGTTTCAAAGAGGTGTCCAATATCAAATACATATTTCAAATGTAAAGTAATCTGACAGAAACGTTTCTGTGGATTCCAGGTTCTCACATTCTAAGGTTTGTAAATAATTTGGTCAATTTTCATAAATTTATGTTTAAACTTTCGTGAAATAACATGGAGTTCCAGGTAGGACTCACAATGCCTACTTTCCTAGACTTCCAACCCCACTAATCCTGTGCTGTTAACCCACTCTCCATACACCTTCATGCAGTGGTTAGTTAAGCATAAGGACAACTTTATCTTTTTATGTAATGTATAATCCAACAAAAGAATTCAATTAAGGTCAGGGTGAGCACAGTTCACTCATTATAACATCCTAGATGAGTCAGAATTTGCTTACTGTTGCAACTGTAACTATATTACATATTATTATTATGGGAGAGATGCGCTTCTGCTGCTAATGTTGTCTGTAGGGATGCTGACATCTTTGGACCAAAAACTCTGTTGATGAAACACAGCTTATACTGAACTAATTAAACTACTATTATTATCATTATTTTTATTAATTTCATTATTATTAGTAGTACTGTATGCTGCTCTATTTGAAACTCAAATTCTCACATTGTGGCTTTGTGTATGTTTGCTTCTGTATCTTTATTCATGCTAACTGTGTAATTAATATAGACTATCATTTTTGTATTTTGTTCTTTAATTATTTTTGTGTATTTCTCTATTCGTGCTAGCTTTGTAACTGGCCTCTATGCTGTTAAGTTTGCACGTAAATACACACGAATTGAATTATTATTATTATTATTATTATTAGCAGGGTGGTGGTGGTGAATGCACTAATAAGCAATATTTCATAAAAAAAAACTGGTGTGTTCATGATTCATCTCCATAAAAAATTTCACATGTTTTGCTCCAATGATTCATCACCAACAAACTGAAAGTTAAATATATGCTACATGCAGCTGGCATTGTGCTTCATCTTCTACAAATTATCATAACAAACGCTGCATATTCTTTCAAAGATGTATTACCACACAGTTTCAAAATTCTTGATGAAACAGCACTAGTAACACTCCTGCCTCACAATTTATATTTGATTATTTATTCACTGAATACAATCTGCAAATCTTTCAGCAAATTCTCTGTCATGTGTGCTGGTTTACTAGCCTGCTGTTAATATGCACAGTTCTTTTTGTTAACCGTTTAAAGAAGTGTTCCATGAGTTTCTACCTGATGTAAATTTGTTATTGAAAAAGGATAACATTTATGCTGTTTTCCTGTACCTGCACTGGAGTGCAGTTCCTTTCTGTGTAACTACCTATGTAGGAGCCAGAAGATCACAAGCATTAGTACCAATAAGAATGTTGTAGCCTTTGCCTTGCATTTATAGTAACCAGTCAAAATCTGTCCATGATGATGAACTGTTTATTGTTGTCTTAAACAAACAGATGATGTCAATACAGTATCTGCTTTACACACTGAGTGCTACCACATGAATATTATATATATTTATTTAAAATAATGAACATTTCCTAAAAATGATACCAGGCTAATGAATAAAATGAAAATAATCCCTGCCAATCCCTGTCTAGGGAGCATCAACTTGTCTAATACATTGCTCGTCTTATTTTTCAGCAAGAAAATGGCATGTGCTACTGTCAAGACAAACATGACAAGAACAGCATACTTTGCATTCTCAAGTGATAAACAGAGCTAGCTATCACCAAATATAAGAATTGCTGATGGATACTTGCAAATGACAACATTTAATTACACCCAAGAATGACTGGCCATGCTGCTACAAATGAAACTGTAACTAAAATTTCATGACCCATTAAAATTTTCAGACTGCTTCTTTATAAACACATCTCTTGATACTACGAACACATGAATGTAAACTAACATGGGGGGGGGGCATATGGACAAGAAGAGGATAACGTGCACATATGTGCGAACATTCTGCATAATGGTAGAGAGAATGGGACAACTCAAAATACTTCAGATCACGCCTTCATAGCATTTCAGAGCAATTAAATGTAAGTTCATGATGGATCAAATTCATGCAGTCCTCTGGGTACAGCAATGCATCCAATGATAAAAATTACAGATATTTTAGAGGTATCAGCTCTGAGAGAATGGTAAGTAAAAAAAAGTAAAGCTATCCCTGTAACAGGCCGTGAAGGCCCATAGGGTTGTGAGACATTGAGGGTCCCACATTATCCAAACAATCAGCTCAATGGTGGTAAGGTTGTCAGCCTTACACGCCGGCCACACTTCACTCCCCAGGAAAATTATTTTATTAATTCCTGGTACTCATTTCTGTTAGAGGCTAAGTCAACTCCAGGGCCATAGTGCGACCAGAAGGATTAGGTCAACTGAAAAAAATCCAATGACCTCATCGGGACTTGAACCCGCGACCTTCTGGCTTGTAGCATAGTGCCTCAACCACCTATGCTACCGTGTGCACCCTGAGAGAATAATAATTTTTATAATTGACATGATGTTATACTTAAATCTTGAATGATGTGGTTGCATGTTTCTTCAAAATATCAGCAATTTTTACTCCTTCCATATGGTGTCCCATTTTGCTCTACAGGAGGAGCAGGAAGGACACAGTAGTGTAATTCATTGAGGCACTATGCTACAAGACAGAAGGTCATGGACTCGATTCCTGATGAGGTCACTGGATTCTTCAATTTACCTAAACCTTCCAGCACCACTATGGCCCTGGAGTCGACTCAGCCTCTAACAGAAATGAGTACCATAAACCTTCCTGGGGGTAAAAGGCAGCCAGTGTGTAAGGCTGACAACCTCACCACCATTTGTGAGCCGACTGTCTAGAAAATGTGGAAGCCTTGACGTCTCACAACCTTATGGGCCTCCATGCCCTGCTGCAGGGACAGCTTTGCCTTTTTACGTACATAAGGAGGCAGCAAATTCCTCATATCAGTACATTTCCACATGGTGCCATATTTTACCCTAAGGGAAGCACCAATTCCTTCCTTAGATACCGGAAATCTCTTACCATTTCCACATGGTGCTATACTTCAACCCTGAATTAGCAGGCAGCAAATTTCTCTGAAACATCAGTAATTTTAGTCATTTCAGCATGTTGCTATACTTTGGCCATGAAGAAGGGATAGCAGCTCCTTGAAAACATCAGTAACCATTACACTTTAATTGACATGAACTCTAAAGGAGGTAGCAATTATGTCCAAAAGGTTTGTACTTATTTCCATTTCAACAGTGTTATACTTTGACCCTGAAGGAAGAGGCATCAAGCATGATGCCAGCATGATGGCGCCATGGCACACTGCACTATTGTTATCCATGAGTATTTTGGAAGAAACTTTTGGCAACAGATGGATGGGATGTGGATGCCCAATAACCTGGCTCTCTCACTCCTCTGAGTTGACTCCACTGGATTTATTTCTCTGGGGGTACATGCAAAGCCTGGTGTACGAGTCTCCAGTGGAGAGACAACCTGATCTTGTGGCAAGAATTGCAGTAGCAGCCGGAACCATCCGGGCAATGCTGCGTATCTTTCAAAAAGTTCAGCACAACATGGCCAGGTAGCGCAGAACATGCAATGAAGTCAGCGGCCACCATGTTGAGCAAATTTTACAATGCAAAACAATCATATCCCCTAAAACTTATGCATCCTCTCAAAAACTTTGGTGGCCCTTAGTGCCAAAAGTGTTTCCAGACATTGGTGTATTCACAAAATATGATCAGATCGAACCCATCTATCTATCTATCTATCATAGAGCATTATAAAATACATTTACTTAAAACCTGTATATCAACCTTATGGAGGAGTCAGCAAGTTCCTCTTACATATCAGTAACTGTTATGACTTAAACAGAATGCTGTATTCAACACTTGAAGAGGCAAAAAGTTCCTCTCAAACATCAGTAATTTTCAACATTTCAACATGGTGGAGGAGGTGGCAAGTTCCTCTGCGAGTTACTTTCACATTTCAACAGTGTTGTATTCTAACTCTTGGTAAGGAGCCAAGTTCATCCAAAACATATACAGTGTCCCAGGAGGAATGTGCCAAACTTCAGGAGGGTGTTCCTTATGTTAAAGTATGCCCATATAACCCAAAACACCTATGTCCAAAGTTGAACGGTTATGGAAATAATGGCACGAGAAAAGTGTGGTCTTCTGGCGGGTTCACGCACTGTACCTGTCAGCTGAGACATCTTATCTATGTTTGTCCCTGAGTGTGGTGATTCACACTAGCCGTAAGCTCATGTGGTTCATGTGCTACCTACAGAGTACATTGCGACAGCGTCGTGAATGGTTAGTAAATTAGTTGTGCGGAGTTGCTGAAATGCCTTTTGTGTTTTCACACATTGAATATTGTGATATGCATTTTGTGTATGGATTCTGCGGTGGCAATGCACGTGCTGCTGTTGAATTCCAAAGGCATTTTCCCGATCGAAGGATTCCATCTCGACGTATATTTATGAGAATTCACCAGACATTGCATGATACTGGTTCTCTTCCGAGTGTTTCTGTGCACTCTGAAAGGGAGGATGTACAAATGAGAAGCACACGAGAGAACATTCTTGAGATGGTTCAGAGAAGTCCGTGTCTGTCCACTCGTAGAATGGCCTCTCGCATCGGCGTATCATGTATGCAGG